GTTTTGTATTATACACGTTTTTGGAGAACTCGCTTACAAAACATCTGTTCTATTTACCTGCACAGAAGCATGTGAAGGAGTATGTGCACAAAACAGTCATAAGTTAGCCTGGTTGAAACTGCATTTGATTCACTTATAAAGACGACTGATGAATAGGCAGAGTACGTCGAAATGCTAAGTCTTTGTCTAATGTTTCCAGGCTTTCAAAGGTTCTATAGTTACACTATTTCTTGACAAAGGCTATTTCGATATTTACACTAACTTTATACTTCCTCATATGCCTGTGTGTCGGGAAATTTATATATATATAGTGCGTCGGTCGCACAGCGGTTAGGACGCTCGCCAACCATGCACATGACCCGGGGATCGATCCCCGGCCACCGACGCACTCCTTTACCTCGCTAAGCCAGAAATAATTCTGGTAAAGAGGAAAGATTGGGCATGAGGCTAGCAACCCCATCCTGTAAAAATAAACACTGCTACAGGAACCTCAAGCCACTAGCTTGAAGCCCCATTTTCCACTGGGGAACGTGAAGGAAAGAAAAAAAATATAACTGGTTCGTCCTGTTTTTCGGAGTGAATCAATAAGGGTATGATGGTTCGCACAGAATGGAGCAAACTTTAGGGGTATTTGATCACTAAAGAAGTCGTAATTAGTCATGTTCGGTTAACCTTCTTTAGACGAACGAAACTGGTACCCAACCCGCTTATATACCATATTTTCCCAGTTATTTAATGGTTTGCTTTTTGACCTTACAATTTTTTTTAAATTTTTTTATTATTTTTTTGATTTACAGCTTGATTCCACACTGTATTTTTGGTACAAGTATGGAATTTTCAGCATGGATATCGGTAGCCCAAATTTTGCAGGCCGACCATAGATATCTGGTGTGCGCCGGCGTGGGCTCGAACCCCGGACCATGAGCATGGTCGGCGAGAATCCTAACCACTGTGCCACCGACGTACAATGTGAAGTAACTGTTGATGAGTGATGTTTTTTTATGTATTTTTATTCACTTAACTCTTTGTCTTATATTGTTATGATACTGTGTACTGTAATCACTTCTAGTGAAAGGAACACACAAGCTACGCATTCAGAAAGCATATGATAGAGTTTCTTCTTTTTGAAATGTCTTCATTGAAAACCTTATTGACTGGTCCTGATAATTTATATGTAGTCGGGTTGTATACTTCACTTTCTTTCGACCTAGTTTACTACGCTTTCATACGGGATGGAGTCATGTGCGAATTTTCGGATTGTAACACACTTTGTGATGAATATCGAACTGATGGTCCATGTATGGTTTACAGTTTCATAGCAGTGGAAAGGATATAAGAGGTGGGTGGTTTCTGGAGAAGGGTACTAGATTGGCATACGCTGGTAAATAACAACACCAGAAGCAGAATCAGAGAGATCATATGGCTGATTGGTTTTAATTTTATCAAGCATGATTCATAATAGAAGCTAGTAGAGATATTGGGTATTTTCGAGACAGGTGACCTATAATAATAATCTTAACGCCAGAAAAAAGTTCTTCCTGTTTCTATGCTTATTTGAACTGTCAACTTTGTTGCGTTTACTGTTTGTTGAGGTTGTTACATTTTTTGAGTCAATATGGTTTGTATGTTAGTTAGTGTTTCAATATGTTAAGCTCCTTCATACTTGGAATAAAACGCATTTTATCTGGTCTATACTAGATAGATGTACAACATTCACTTATTTTCTTATTTCGTTGAGTTCCAAGGCTTCAAATTTGAGCTCTGAAATCTCACTAGTAAGGGTTATTATTTCTTTTTCTAGGTGGAGTTGCTGGCCTAGAGTTCAGCCTTTCTTTTTAACGCAGCTTATTACGGGCTATGAGGTTTAGGAGTGCATCGACCAGGGATGGAACCACAAACCATATGCGCGGTTGGCAAATATTCTATCCTGCAGCCACTGATGTAAGAAGGAATAAATTACTTGTGGATTGCAAGCAGTACTTCAAATATCTTGAATAATGGAATTCGGATGAGCGGTTATATTTATTCTGTATTGATTTACATTCGGAAACTAATTGGAGAAAAATTCTGGTTTTATTTACTGGGCATATTAGTCAGCTGAGGAAAATAAAATATGATCTATAGGTTTTTGAGTATGTGTATCTTGGTTCTGATGTTCATGTAGGATAAAACTGTTAAGTACAACTTAGATTCCACTCACAACGTTAGGTAAAGAAGCTAGGGTAAACAGTTAACTCATAAAGCCTCATCAAATGAAGTATCTAGGATATATTTGTTCATAATAGTTCCCCATCTTCCTAAAAAAAGCAATATTAACTGATGAATTTGAAGATAAGGTGATAGGAATCAAAATGGCTCCAATCTATGAATTCTGACAGTGTATGATTGAGCCATTCGAGGTAAAAACTACCACGGTGAAGATCTCAAGATGTTAGGAATTAATCGTTAGAGAACCAAAGTAATACAACTAAAAAACACACAGAAGTAGTTATATTACTATTATTAGTCCCTTGAGTTACGAATGGAACATAGGGCTTCAACAGTAAATCTCCACTTTATCCTGGACACATCAGCTGACTAACTTCCGAAGGCTTTCACCAGCCCTCTTCATTTCGCCCCTCCTCCCTGATTCCAGCGAAGAATAAGATCGTTCTTTGAATTTTTTGTATTTTTAATGCATTTTTGTGTGTTGAAATTTCTTTAGCGGTTTGATAGGTTTAGTGGTATAGGATTCCTAGCTCTACGCCCAACCCTCCCTCTTTACCCGGGCTTAGGACTTAGGCTCAAAAACTAGCAGGCTAGTTAACTAGGCGAAACTATAAAGATTCCCACGGGTCTTACTTTATTAATTCTTTCTTTTTTCACTCACAACAATTCATTATAGTAGAATTAAATACGTATTCTCTTAACCTTTTGTAGAAAATGCAGTAGTTAAAGTAGGCATACTTTGAATAAATTTCTACGTCGATCGAACAAATAGACCTAGCAGGTGTTCATTTAGACAAATGAAAATCTTGACTACCATCATTAAAACTTTTATTCCTAATAGAGGAATGCTCTTCCAAATTCAACCTTTAACAAAAGTCTCATGATCAGCGGCCTTGTCGAAATAACATCACTATTGTTCAAAGTAATATTGATTATACGTTTGCATACTATAGTAGTAGGTACTACTATCGACTAGCTTATACAGATAGCATGCTGACAGTTAACAAATTGTATGAATTAAAAGAAGTACCATTAACTGCACAGTGTGATGCATACAATTTAAACACAAGAAAGCACAGCATGTGTAATTAATTACTTTTCAGGTATACTGAATCGTCAGGTTTATTCAGTATTTGGTCATAGCTTATTGGCCTTTAGGGTGCTGTGTTGAACCTAAATAAAATAAACGAATTTCTTCAAGTTTTGTCAGAATTCATTGAAGCAAGCTCTTAGGCGTTATCTATCAGAGTTTAACTGTAGCAAACTTTTTCTAAGCTAAAGTTTTGTATACTTGTCACGAATTCTAAAGAGATATGTGGCACAGCGACTTCTCTTAGGAATTAGGCATTAATATAATTTATTTCTAAATCTATTGACATAGACTTTAAAAGATTTTTCCGGGAAAATCTACTGGAACCTTATTGATGAATGTTTAACTTTGAATTATCTATATGTAATATTAGTAGGCTACCGTAGTGATTGACTATTGTTCAGCAAACTTATATACGCCTGAATTTTAGTTTCACCTAAAACGGTCAATATATAAAGGTCATCGCTTGTTGAGTATGAAGGTAATCATAAGTATACTTGTGTTGTTCGGATCACTTGGCTTAGTAGAAAGTGGAATGGGACTTTTGTAGGGTTTTACACAGTTATCTATTGCTTCCTAGTTTTTTTAAGGATTTATGCTTAGTTGAAGGATTTCGTCATGAGCTGATATCAGTTGGAAAACTATTGGAAAACCTGTAGGGAGTACTGGACAGTTGTTTCCCCCATTTTAGTTTGGGAATCTTCAACAGAGCGCGCCCACCGCCAAGGACGGAACCCAGGACCATTTAGTTACAAGGCGAGCTCATAGACCATTAAGTCACTGAGAGCCGATCCAATGACCAGTGCATGAATTTCAACTTCTGCCAATTCACGACATAGTGCGACCAATTCTCTTTACATCTCCGATGAGTAACTCTCCTCATCTTCGACCTGCTGTAGCCTACTGGTCACGACTTCCACTAGAACCCCAGGTTAACTGCCTGAATACGGCCAGCTACTAGTGGGCATTAGATCAATTTTCATGCATCGGTTTGTGGGGATTTTGTTTGATTAATTGGAGGATTTCACCATCAATTGGCGGAATTGCCCATTGCGTCGGGTTCCACTGGCCGAATGGTCTATGCGCTCACTGGCCTTGTAACCAGAAAGCCCTGGGTTCGAGCCCTGGTGGTAGGTGCGTACTGATGAAGAGTTCCAAACTAGGATGAAACAACTGTCCGGTACTCCAGTGCTGGTTTTCCAATGCTTCTCTAGATGATCTCAGCTCATGATGAAATCCTCCAACTGATCAAACAAAATCCCTACAAACCAATACATGCGGATTCTCTTTTTTTGTATAACTCCGGTACATAACGATAGCTTGCATGAATTAACAACCCAAATATCTGGTATAATAATACTAAGGTATAATTTCACAAATAACATAAAATAACAAAGGGTTTGAAAGTAAAATTAAGGTAAAACTTAGCATAAACCAATATTAGTAAACAATAAATAACAATAAATCACTGTTACTGTTTCTGTGAATATCCATTCAAAACAAAATTACGTGAAAGTAAACCAGAACTCTGTGTGTGTGTGTGTGTGCGCGTGTGTAGTTAATCCTTTTTAAAATAAAGGTGAACTAGAATAAAATCAAAGTCATTTTATATATCATGGTGTTACCTAACTAAAAAGGTGTAAACCATTAGAGAACGCATGAATACACACAGAGATAGACTGGGACTGGTAATACTTTCATATTACTGCAATTTTTTTCGACCATTCTTTTCACTATCATCTCCATGACTAATACGAACAATATGCGTTGCTCCAGGTGATTTTGAACGAGTCTCAGGATTATAACAGTTAATTTTTAGCACTAAGTCATCACCATTAAGTTTAATACTTTTGGCATCATTGATTTCCTGTTCATAAACATCATCATTATAGCGAACCACTCGATTTGGTGTATCCGCTGCTGCTGCTGACGCTGACGCTGATGTATTGACATATTTTGGTACAATTGGTGAATGAGATGTATAACCAGGTGATCTATAACTGCTTTGGCTTTCAACTCTATGCACATATTCATCTTGATAATTATAGGCATTATCATAAGAGTAGGCTAATTGTGGTTGTGATCTAGATAAAGCTCTTGTACGCAGCAAAGTTCCATCAGCTTGATTTGCTTTCTCCTCGAATCTTGGATACCGTGACATTTGAGATTGTTTAGGATGATAAATTTCTGGTGTTGTACACTGTAGTGGTGTAGGACTAAGTGATCTGTTTCTATGCTGATGATTTGTATTGTCATTTGAGTGACTAACTGGATATATAGTTGGTGAATAACCGTAAGCTTCACAATCAGCATTATTAAAGTTAAATATTTTCGGGGAAGTCGCACTACTGGAATGTGGAAAATCTTCAAATGAGAGTGGTTTAACCGGTGATTTTAAAGCTGGCTTTTTTCCAAATCGACCAGATGACTGTTTCTTTTGTGGTGATGGAAGGATAGGCGTTGCATTTGAGTCTTTAGCATTTATTGTCTGGTCGACATAGGATCCAGGTGGTTTTTGAGCATTAGCTTGATTTAAATAATAAGTGGCTTGTTGTTGTTGCATTGCCTTTTCACGATTTATCATTTCATGATGGTGTTCAACATTTCTTTTAAGTGTTGTCACCAATCTGTCTCGATCATCTCTGCTAACTGATGAGAAGACATGAATTAGGCGTTTCCCGGGATTATAGGATTTAATGTCTAAGGCGAATTTTCTTTCATCTGATCTTGATAAAATCACATCATATAAGCATCCATAGTTAATGCATAATTCAGTTGTACCTGGCCACCATAATGGTTTGTCTAGGAACATTTCTTTCTCTGTCAACATTAACAATAAACTTCTGTCAATATTGACAAATTTAACCAATCCATTCTTAGCTGATACTGGAGCATCTAAATGCTGTGAAGTGAATGATTGATTGTTCATATCAATTTCTACACAGTATTCAATAAAAATTTTAAAATTAGGAAAATTCGATTTTGGTTGATTTGGACTCATTGGTGATGGTGTTGTTCCCGGGGTCGAGGTGGATGTGGTTGATGGTGTTGATCCAGGCGTTGTCGTTGGCATTGGTGTCGCTGATTTTGCTCCAGATTTGGATGTAGACGATTTTAGTTTCATCGGTGTCATTGCTCTCTTTCTTAGAACCATTTCGGCTTGTGTTATGATAATGAATATATTTACTGTGAAGTAGAAAGATAAGAATAATTTGTTGAAGAGACAGACAAAAAGCAGAGTAGAAAATGAAACATTATTTTAGAAATACTTATTAATTATCATTTTTATAGATGAATTTTAATTGGACAGTAATCGCTTTATCCTCGTTTAACTGTGCGCTGTGTGCAGTTTCGTTACAATGTGAACTCATGTTTTCAAGGATAAGGTGAAATACTCATTGTGTTGTTGTTAAATAATGATTGTATGAAATGAATAAAGGCTTAAAGTACTATACATTATCTTATGAGAATAATGCTCATTACTGAATATTACTGATATATTATTACTGGTAATAGAACTAAATTAAAACTTTGTGCCATGTTATTATCATCATCATTATCTATAAGATAAAATCAATTAACTAATTGCAAGCAAATTAACCAGTCAAAATGCAGGATGTTCAGTTAATTACAAGTGCTGTTAATAGTACAATCGAATAATAAGTCGACTTCATTTGAGGTTCCTCGGCTCAAGCCTGTTGCTATTATCCCCTTAGGTTTCGATTAAGGCATTAGGATTAAACAGTACATCTGCATTTCATCCTGTTTCTTGCTGCAGTCTTTAGCTAGTCCCTCAATTGTCCATGGACCCTCATTTTCTCCCTCGTGGCACCATTGGAGATACACTCGATTCGTTGTTTGCTATTCGAATTCCATTCGAGCATCGGCATCTCGCACGATCCATTTGAAGTCTCTGTTGCATATTTGCTGGGTCATATGTTCTTTATTATTATTATTATTATTATTACTGTTGTTCCCTTGGGTTCCTAGTGGAACATACGGCTTCAACTACACATCTCCACTTGCCACTTCTGTCTTCCTTCTGCTGTACTTTTCACCTGCATCCATGTCAGTTAGTCCATACTGTTTCAACTCCTCTTCACACCATCTCCTCCATGTCACCCTTGCACTGACGTCTCACTCGCCGCTGGCTTCCCTTTCGGCCTGGTTCCACTCCAACAATGGACTGACACGCGCGCCATGTCACCCAGCCGCCTCCTCAGCCACGAGTGTGTGTATCCAGTCCATCTCCACTTTCTCCTGAATATCCCTAGGTTGGTTGGCGATTGGCTCTTGTTTTGTTTCTTCCCAGTCATAGTTTCTTGTTGGTGATTCTTTCCTTCCCGGCCATCTCATCAGATCTTCAGTATAGAGCGAAGACAGTTAGTTGTTGATGAAGTTCTGCAACAGGCTGTTGGAAATATTCTTTGTGACCCACCCGCCAAGTTTCTGATCCGTATAGAAGAGCTGACTGACTTGACCTTGTTTGTATTGAAAATCCGCCCGAATTTTGTTGTTGATGTTGAGTGAAGAAGAATCTCAAATTTGTCTCAGGTTGATGAATGTGTTTCTCGCTCGCCTTCCCGATTCTCGCTCGATTTGACATCCTCGTCCGTTCCGACTGTCTGTAGTTGAGACAATACTTCCTAGATAAATGAGTGAATGAAGTAAGCTCTTTCAAATCCCTCCCGTTGATGGTGATTGGCACTGGATGTTGGTGCTGTTGTTTGGTTGGTTGGTTATTTTCATAACCTCCGTCTTGTCTATGTTCACTTGGACTCCTGTCTTCGCCGGCTGCTTCTTCGACCAATTTGTCGGTTTTCGCTCGCTTGTAGGTCCTCGATTTTGTGACAGTGATATCAAACATAAATCATCCATGCGCGAAATCCAGGTCTTCTAGGTTCTTCACGTCTGTCTGTCTGTCCAGGATATCCCTGTCTTCTCGTTTCCCACTCACAGTCTGACGCACAATCCAGTCAGTTGACCACAATTAGGAATATTATGGGTGATAGATAATAAGCACCCTTGTCTGACTCCTGTGTTTACTCCAAACGCCTGGCTGAGTTTTCCTTTGTGGATCACTTAACTTGTTACGGGTTCTTAGTTGGTTATTATTATTGATAATAATCGATAAGTATGAAAGGAAGGAGTATCATGAGCTTGTTGCTCAATTCCTTCAAGGTTCTGCTAATACTCCTAAACTTGATTTGAAATAAATGTTCTATAGGAAACTAGTAATTTTGGTATTTATCTCAGAAAGCAAGATAATTTTTCAGCAGAGTACAATTCAGGGACAAAATGTAGATAGATACACTTGAAATCACGCAACATTCCCAAGGTATTACATGATTTAAGTTGATGAACGTTAGATGATAGCTACTTATGGATATTGCTTTTGTGTCTGTTATTAACTAAATATGGTGTAGTGGGTGTTTCTTTCATTCCTATGCATTCTGAGGAGAACTCATACGGTTGCAAGCTTCACCTTTGAAGTTTCTCTATTTAATATCAGTAAAAAGTTTGAGCATTGTGGATTAGATCAAATAAAGTATAATTATATTTTAATAGTTTACACACAATGATAAGTTTTGTTATTGGTAATATTTCGAGCAAAATTACTGAACACACATATGCACACACAAACATGAATGAGCAAAAAATAATAATAATGAACTATATATATATGAGTACAAATCATAAATGTGTGAATAAAACAATTCCAACAGTGGTGTGAACACGGGCAGTAATTTTGCTCGAAATATTACCAATAACAAAACTAATCATTGTGTATAAACTATTAAAATATAATTATACTTTATTTCTCTATTTACCTCACTTATTACTGGCTAAGCAGGATCTGGGAGTGCTTTAGCCAGTAATCGATCCTGCACTATGTCCGTGGGCATTCTGCTATTGCACCACTCACACACAATCCAGTAGTAGGAAGCGAAATTCTTATTGATTTGTGATAAAACGGTCTTACTAGTTCAATGTATATTCATCACTATCGAAATGAACCGCTGTATATGGAAGTTTGTTGGACACTGACACAGTATGGTTCGATGTTTCGAAAGTCAAAATACTGAGTTTTCGTATGCATATATGCTGTTTGTGTAGGTCGTCCTGAAACTCAAAGCTATCATATGACTGTCCTCTAATCGGTGCAGTTAAAGATGAGTGTCTTGAAACATGTAATTTCATCTTTGAATAAGGCAAGAACAACAAGTTGTGCAGAATAAAATGGTATTATCTTTTATTTCGTCGGCTTCTCATCAGCTGCTTACAGACCAAAGACATTACTAAGTTTATGTCCTGTAAAAATTTTGGCATACTTGCACAGAGTTCAGTTTTAAACAGAAATCAGTCAATCAATACATGCAGGCTTCGCTAATAATAATAATAATTCCTTTATCCCAAACAATAATAATCATACACCTTGGAAGTTTATGGAGTTACTTAATCAGATGAAAGAGACGATGAAAACATCCAGTTATCAGGGTAAGGAAGACTGATAACTCCTTCTTTCTGAACACATGAATCATATTTCAGGCGCTTGATGAAGATTGCTTCAGTAAATTTGAGGAGAATTGAACCGTTTTGTCTATTGATAATTTCGAACAATGTTCCAACGTCTACCTGATGACCTGTGTCAAGGAGATGCCTGGTAATAGCACTGCTGAAAGCATTTGTTCCCTTGAGACGTAGGCTTTATGTCACATGTTCAGATACCTGTAAATTTGTATACATAGTTGAAGTTAACTTGAGAAGGATATCTGTCGACTTTTGATTGCACCAAAGGACATATTATCCGATTAAACAGGGACCGACTTAGCTTCAGGAGATTAGAAAAGCATTTCTAAATTCGTTGTTTACATAGAATTCGGCGTGTCTTTTGTCTACTGTTAACAACAATATCGCTTATCAGATATCATAAATACTACACCAGTTGCATTATAAACAACCAAAATCAGAATAATTATCGTGAACCATATTCTGAGTTTGTCAGACATTAGGAATAGACAGAGAATTTGATCTACAATGACAGATATTTAGCTTCATCGTCGACAGATCTCAAGTGTTTATTTGTAACACCCTGAGGAGTCCCAAATGGCCAGTTAGCTTTCACTAAATATGGACAGTCGTCGTCATTTATCTTAAAAACTCGTATATGAGTCAGGCAAACTTGATGTTTCAATGTATTATAAATCCAGTCTAATTCATATTCATTATTTTTTAGTGAATCAAGTCCATCGGAGACACTGATATCTAACTGTTATACTTGGGTAGTTATCGATTTTTAAGAATTTAAAATTTTAGTTTAACAGTAAAGGAAGGAATAAAATAATTGCAACACTGATGTTAAAAAATATTTTGCTGCTACAGTAGTAGTAGTGTAAGGACAGGAGACAAGGGACTTGCGAACTAAATGCTTATTTGCAATTTGTTATCTCAATATGAGGAAATTATGTACACTTTATCTGGAAACCATCATTTGTACAGATCGTCCGTGTTGTGCCGATTCTACCCTTCGTATTTTGTTTTTTGTCTTCTTCTTGTATCTCCTATGTTTTGTTGCAGCGCTGGTTCATTTGCTGTCTTTGACTTCAAATCTATCTCTCTCTCTCTGCTATTTGATAGTTTTATGCCGATTAACGTCCCTCTATATACTACTGATAAATCCTATCAGTAGCATAGTCCACAGTGGAAGCAGTAGTACAAAACTGTTGACAGGAAGATTCCTGCCTATCTTAAAGGCAATCCATGTTATTCGTGTTGACAAATCGACATGAAAAAATTAAGTCAAAATTAATTATCTTTATTCAGAACCAAAAATCAAATATCGGAAACCTATTTAAACATGTACATATAGCTGGGCGATTGCCTTTATAAGTCCAGAGTAAAGCCAGAGTAAAGGTTTCCTCTAGACGGATAACAAAAGCTTCACAGTAAGACTATTCGTTTCAGAGAGTACATAAACGAGGAAAACACTCATCTGATCTATGAATAATATTCAACATATCGGATATCACTTTATTTTATGATATGTGATAAGTATAACACGGATAGAATTCAGTGAATTACAACGCCAGCCATCACCAGCCAAATGACATCTTATTAGCAATTCAGCCAAAG